TGCTGTGGCTCAAGTGGTAGAGTGCTAGCCTTGAACTGAAGAGCTGAGGGACAGCACCCAGGCCCAGAGTTCAGGCCCCACGACTGGACCCAAAATATAAAAATAAAAGAAAATAAATTGACGTATGTTTATGCTTTAAAAAAGATTTTAAAAAAGCTGGTGCTTCATCCACAAATCAGCCAACGACAAATGCTGGAGGGGATGTGGAGAAAGAGGAACCCTATTACACTGCTGGTGGGAATGTACACTTATACAACCACTTTGGAAAGCAGTCTGGAGGGTCCTTAGAAAGCTAAAGATTGACCTCCCTTATGACCCAGTCATACCACTTCTAGGCATCTACCCTGAACAACAGGAACCAATATACAAGGACACGTGCACCTCCATGTTTATTGCAGCACTGTTCACAATAGCTAGGATATGGAAACAACCCAGATGCCCCACCACAGATGAATGGATCCAAAAATTGTGGTATCTATACACAATGGAATATTATGCAGCCATTAGAAATGATAAAATAATGGCATTTGCAGGGAAATGGATGGAGCTAGAAGGAATCATGTTGAGCGAGGTAAGCCAAGAGCGAAGAGACAAACGGTACATGATCTCCCTGATAAGTGGATGCTAAATCCAAAATGTTAGGTGATACGACAAAACTAACAGGACTTAAGAAACAAAGAACTCCCACTCATCTGGTTGAACCACTACTAAATATCCCCATGCTGCTGATCACATGTATGGTGTATAACATGTGAACACTGTTATATGTTACAGACTATGATAGACAATTTGCTCCAGGAAAGTTAGAATGAACTTGTGACTTTAAATGAGCATCATTATTCCACAATACTGTGAAATTCCGGAAATTATGTAATCAATTAATCACAATCAAAAAAAAAAAAAAGAACCTCTGGGAAGGTAGGGAGGGAGGGGATGGTAGGGGGAAAACAATGGAGGGGGTAACAATGTTCAAGAGGAAGTGTACTCATTACCTCACTCATGTAATTGTAACCCTCTGTATAGTATCTTTACAAAAAAAATAAAAAAAAAGCTGGTGCTGGTGACTTACACCTATAATCCTAGCTGCTCAGCAGGCTGAGATATAAGGATCGCGGTTCTAAGCCAGCCTGGGCAGGACAGTCCCTGGGACTCTTATCTCCAATTAACCACCAAAACCGGAAGTGGCATGTGGTTCAAGTGGTAGAGTATTTGCCTTGATCTGAAGAGCTGAGGGACAGCACCCAGGCCCGAGTTCAAGCCACATGACAAACAAACAAACAAAAAAAATTAAGAAAAGTAAGCAAAAACCAATCTGTTTGTCACAACCTCCGTGCTGCTAGGGAACCATTATACCCATTTCTTTATTTGCTTGTTCATACCAGAATTGGGGCTTGTCTGACACTCTTACCACTTGAGAGATGCCTCCACTTCTGGTTTTTGCTCGTTAATTGGAGATGAATCTCTGATTTGTGTGCCTAGACTGGCTTCAAGCCTCAATCTTCAGATCTGAGCCTTCTGAGTAGCTAGGATTACAGGTGTGAGCAATCGGTGTCTGGCTACCAGTTTCTTTTATATTATTAAAACAGTTTTCTCAGCTGAGTGCCAGTGGCTCACTCCTGTAATCCTAGCTACTTAGGAAGCTGAGATCAGAGGATCACCATTCAAAGCCAGCCAGGGCAGGAAAGTCAGTGATACTCTTATCTCCAATTAACCACCAGAAGACCAGAAGTAGTGCTATGGCTCAAGTGGTAGAGTGCTTGCCTTGAGCTGAAGAGTTCAGGGACAACAACCAGGCCCAGAGTTGAAGCCCTAAGACTAACAAAACAACAACAACAAAAACAGTTTTCTGTCTTATCAGATGCCAAGAATAGTATATTCTGCATCTTCTTCCATTTTCCTTAGCGTGAGTTTACTTAACTTGGCTAACTTCTTGTCTTGAAGATTTCTATTAGGAAATACAGAGGTACTATTATCATGAATAGCTATGCACTTTCCAGGTGCCCCAGAATTTACTTCACCAGTTGGTAGCAAGGAACTTCAAGGCTATTTGCAGGGTAGTTTCAGAATAGATGTGTAAAATGCTCTATCCTTTCTCTTAGGGGAAGAACTCAAAGGCACAATACATATATGCCTCTAATCATATAAATAATGGTTACCGAAAGAACTCCAGGAAATCAAAATGAATTTTTTTCTTTGTTGCTATTGTTTTATTTTGCTTTGTTTCTATTTCTGTCATTGGGAGGGTTAGGGGGCCCAGAAGTGGAGGGACAAAGGGTGAACAAATGAAGCAGTGGTACTCACTAGACCCTATGTTGAAAACAAACTATACAACTTGTAGGTAGAGATGGGAGGGAAAACTGGGAGAGAGTGAAGGAAGACGTGACACTGTCAAAAAATGTACTCATTACCTGACATGTAACTGTAACCCTTCTGTGCATTACCTTAATAATAACAATACCTTTTTTTTTTGTTGGTCCTGGGGTTTGAACTCAGGGCCTGGGCTCTGCCCCTCAGCTTCTCTGTGCTCAGGGTTAGCTCCCTACCACTTGAGCCACAGCACTACTTCCAGCTTTTTCTGTTCATGTGATTGTTACTGAGGAATCAAACCCAAGGCTTCATGCACGCTAGGCAAGCATTCTACCACTAAGCTACATTCTCAGCCCAACAATGTATTTTTTTTAAGACAGGAGAAAATACTATCTCTTGTGCATCTCAGCATGGTGGGACACACAGACACGGACTAGCACAGACTTCTGTCTTCAGAACTTCAGCCTCCTCCCCTCTTCCCACCAGCTCCCTTCAGGATGAGGTGACTTTGTATCAGGATCCAGGCCACACCTCTGGCTCTGCTGGGTGACTTGAGAAGGGTCCTCCTTGGGCCCGGATGGGCTTGAACAGCCTGGGTGTGTCTAGAAATTCCACAGCACATGGGACTGTGGTCCTGTGTACTGCCTGGGAAAGCTTATCTCAAGCTCCTTTCCTAGCAAAACCTTCAGCTCCCACCTCAAGGGTCCTGTCTGGCAGGTGTGCCTTGTAGCTCATTTTCCTGGCCCTCTGCTGGGGTTTGTTTGTAAACTCAGGAACCAGTCAGACACCGCCCAGGTGCTGTTTTCCTTGAAGGCAAGAGTGATTGTTGGTAGGTAAGGTGCTAGTGGCCCACACCTGTAATCCTAGCTTCTCAGGAGGCTGGGATCTGAGCCTCTCACGTCAAAGCCAGTACAGGCAGATAAGTCTATGAGACTCTTATCTCCAGTTAACCAGCAAAAAGCCAGAAGTGGAACTGTGGCTCAAGTGGTAGAGCACTCACTTTGAGTGAAGAAATTCAGGGACAGTGCCCAAGCCCTGAGTTCAAGCCCCAGGACTAATATCTCTCTCTCTCTCTCTCTCTCTCTCTCTCTCACACACACACACACACACACACACCAGGACTAATATCACACACACACACACACACACCAGGACTAATATATCACACACACATACATACCAGGACTAATATATCACACACACACACACACATACCAGGACTAATAACACACACACACATACCAGGACTAATAACACACACACACACACACACACACACACACACACACACACACACACACACACACACACACACACACACCAGCCCCGAACCTGAAAGGGAGAGATTAAGTGAAGCTCAATGGTAGAGTGATTGCCTTGTCCACAGGATTTGATTCCTAGAATCCCCAAACAAGAAAAGAAAACCCAAAGGACAAAGTGGGGCCCAGGGCAGGGCTGGTGCTGGTCATTTTAAGCTAGCACCTGGATTAGGAGGCCAAAGCCTGTGCCCATGTGTGGGGCTGGGGGCTGGAGACATAGGAGAGACACAAGGGCAGGCCTGGAAGAAGGTGTGTGGCACTGGGGGGCACAGGAGAGACCCACAGACAGGCTTGGCACCATATACATCTCTGATCTCTTTCTCTGGGAGCTCTTGAGGGGCGCCAGGGAGAGTCTGCAGCTTCTGAACTGGAACTATTCCTGTTTTTTTCCCTTTCTTCCTTCCTTCCTTCCTTCCTTCCTTCCTTCCTTCCTTCCTCCTCCTCCTCTTCCTCCTCCTCCTCCTCTTCTTCCTCCTCCTCCATCTTCTTTTTTGTCTTGTCAGTTGTGGAGCTTGAACTCAGGACCTGGGAGCTGTTCCTGAGCTTTTTCGCTCAAGGCCAGTGCTCTACTTCTTGAGCCACAGCCCCACTTTCAGCTTTTGGCAGTTGATGGGAGATAAGAGTCTCACAGACTTTCCTTCTTTATGGGCTTCGAACCCTGATCCTCAGATCCCAATCTCCTGCAAGTATTAGCCACTGGCATCAGGCTCTGACTTTTTCTTTTGACAATGCAATACTCAAGAAATAACATTTGACAAAAGGAGAAAAGTTCTTGTATTTAATGACTAAGAACCTTCAACTAAGCCCTGAGTTCAAGCTCCAGGACTAATATCACACACACACACACACACACACACACACACGAGTCTGGCATCTCCACCAGAACCAAGGCTGTTCCCAGATGCATGAGCTTTGCTTTCCCCAGGCTGGTTGGCAAAGTCCTGGGGGTGAGGCATGGGTTTTCTTGCTAGCTGAGAGCGTTTTCCTGCCATTCCCAGCCCATTGCTTATTGTGAAGACTGGACTTTAGCTCCCAGGCTTGACCCCTGCAACACACTGGACAAACAGAATCTGAAATCGGACCCTCTTCCGCCCCTGGATTGCGCAGAGCTCACAAGCACAAACAAACTTATTTTGAACACTGGGATCTCAGCATGCCAGAGTTGACAATCATTAATCTCCAAGTCCACGTGGCGCGGCCAAAGCCCTTCATAAGGCCGGGGCTGCCCCCAGCCAGCATCGTGCACTGCCCGAGCCACCTGCCTAGCGACGCTACTCAGCGCCAAGGGCCAACAGTCCCGAGAGCCTCAGCCGGAGAACAGGGCACCGCGCTCCACAGCACCAAGCGTCGTCCACCGCCCGACGCCTCCCCGCGATGCCCGCCATGCTCGCGGTCCCCGTCGCCGGCCCCTGGCGGGCGCTGCTGCTCCTGCTAGCAGTCCAGACCGGCGTGGCCACGGGTGCTATCCAGCCATGGCACTGCGCCCCGTGCACCCCGGAGAAGCTTGCGCTCTGCGCACCCGTCCCCGCCTCATGCCCGGAGATCTCCCGGGCCGCCGGCTGCGGGTGCTGCCCGATGTGCGCCCTGACGCTGGGCGCTGCCTGCGGAGTGGCCACGGCGCGCTGTGCTCGGGGACTGAGCTGCCGCGCGCTGCCGGGGGAGTCGCGGCCTTTGCACGCCTTGACCCGCGGCCAGGGAGCGTGCATGCCTGAGTCTGTCGACACGCCTGCCGGGGCCGCCTCCAAAGCCAGCGCGGACCAAGGTACTCCACCTCTCCTCTCTCCCTACCCCCGTCCCAGGCCCGGATCCCAGGGCATATCCAAAGCTCACAGAGGCTAGGAGGCACGTACAAACGCCCCAGGGCGGTGGACCAGGAGTTGAAGCCACTCAGAGGGTACCCATCATTGCTTGATCTTGCAAGGTACCCCAAAAGATGGAGTGGAACAAGGGCACACAGTTCAGTGCTCAGAAGGAGGAGGAGAGAAAAATCTCCCATTTGGTAGGCTGGACCTTAAACCTCTCGAGATGCAGCAGTGAGAGTGAAGGCAGGGGGCAGCCAGAGCTGCGGGGTGCCCCCCCCAGGCTGCACCCCACCACCCCGCCAGCCCTGCCCTGGCACCCTCCTTGGCCTGGAACTTTCTTTGTAATATATATCCTGTGGACAGCCGTATGTGCTTCTCAGATATTTACAGAACATAATGTGAAAGTTTAGGCTGAACACTTCACTTCTATTCATGCCCATAGATAAATAATGTTTGATGTGTAGGTTGCCCGCTGAGAAGTTGACAATCAAGTTCTTTCCTGAATTTAGCAGTGATTTGTTTGTAGTTGGAAGTGTAGGAAATGTCTCTTATCTCCTATCTGGGCTGCTAGTGCTGCCTGTGCCTAGGCCTTGGGAGGAGTCTGGGGGATTCCTGTCCGGAAAGGAATCTGTAAGGGAGCACTTGACCCTGTCAGGAGGGGTGGGGAACTGGAGCCAACTCGATGGTACAAAGAAGTAGATTTCCTGGGGGGTGCGGAGGGGCTCCTCCGATTCTCTGCTGCATCCTTGGACACTATCACAGGGGTCTAGTGATCTGTCTTTTGGGATGTTAGAGAAGTCACTTAATGTGTGGAAAGGGGGCAGGGGCCGGCGGGGGTTGGGGGGGGCAGAAGAGATGAGTAGTGATCTGGGTCAGGAGAGCTGCAGTCTAGACTCCACTCTGTGTGTGTGTGTGTGTGCGTGCCCCCGTGCACACGTGCTCATGCACGTCGGTTGGTTCTGGGACTTGAACTCAGGGCCTGGGCATTGTCCCTTAGATTTTTGCACTGCCACTTTACCACATGAGCCACAGCTCCACTTCCAGCTTTTTGGTAGCTACATGGAAGAAAAAGTTTCATGGACTTTCTTGCACAGACTAGCTTTGAACCATGACCCTCAGATCTCAGCTTCCTGAGTAGCTGGGATTACAGGTGTGAGCCACTGCTGCCTAACTGGACCCCACTTCTGACTGAACCCTCTCATTTGTTCTTGGAGTGTTAAAAAGCTCCTCTTTTATGGAGGGAAAAGCCCTAGAAAATATTTATCATGAGGCTCAGGAGTAGTTCCCAAGCTTTGGGGCTTCTTCAGACTTGCTCCTGGCTTCAGCAGAAGCTCCTGGCTTCACGCTGCTCCCTCCTCTGCCCAGGGAGCCCTTACCACCCGGAAAACCACTGTTTTCCTCAGTAGAGTTACCCTTGCCATTAGGTCATTGCTGTTTTGACATATGATCGGCAGACATCTGGATTAACCTGGTTAGCCTGTGTGCCACCCTGGCTGAGAGAAAGAAATGATGGGTGGGACATAGGGATACATGCGTCTGAAGACCCACGGATCTTTGGTGCTACCTTTGTAGAGGTCAAGACCACTGTAGCCTCTGAGAATGAGGCCCCTAAGAGCACAGAGATGACTGAGGAGCAGTTGCTGGAGAACTTTCATCTGATGACCACTTCTGGTGAGGACCAGCCCATCCTCTGGAACGCCATTAGCATCTACAAGAGCATGAGGGCCCGTGACATGACCGATGCCAACAAATGGAAGGTGAGGCTTTGCAGGGATCTTCACAGGTGGCTTCATGGAGCCCAGCTCATGTCCAAATGACAGGGTCAGACTAGACAACCAACCACTCAAGAGCATCTTTCAAAGCATCTTTTGAGCACAGGGTCTAATCCCCACACCCCATTATATCTTTTTGTGTTCTTGCTTTAAAAATTATGATAAAATATCTATAATATAAAATTTGCTATCATAAGCATCTTAAGTATAGTTTTTATATCATTGAGTTGCTATCTCACTACCATCTTCAGAATCTTCTTTCTCTTTTTCCTTTTGTTCTTTCTTTCCTTTCTCTGTCCTTCTTTCTTCCTCTTTTTTCTTTGTTTCCTTCCTTCCTTCCTCCCTCCCTTCCTCCTTCCTTCCTTTCCTTTCCTTCCCCCCGCCCAACGTGTGCTCACTGGCTCATTCGCTCACTTGCTTTCTTGCTGATCCTGGGGCTTGAACTCTAGGCCTGGGCTCTGACCCTAAGCTTCTTTGCTCAAAGCTATAGTCACAGCTCTACTTCTGGCTTTTTCTGTGATTAATTGGAGATAAGAGTCTCACGGGCTTTCCTACTCAGGCTAGCTTCGAACTGTGATCCTCATATCTCAGCCTCCTTAGAATTATAGGCATGAACCACTGTGGGTACCTAGCTCTCCAGAATTTCTTGTTTTCCAAAATTGAAACCCTGGGCCAATTAACTCTCACAACCTAAAAAAAAATTATTATTATAATTTATTATTTGTAGTGTTGGAGATTGAACCCAGGGCCTGGGATCTGCTAGGCAAGAGCTATATTCCCTAGTCCTGTCAGTTTTAATTCTACCACTTGAGGACGACAGAGAACCAAACTTGGAGTGTTGATTTGAAGGGGAGTGGGAAAGAGAAAAATCAATTCCAGAAAAGTGGACTGGCAGAAGAACGAACAAGCCATTTTTTTTCTTGGACACTGCAGAATTTGTGTGGAAAGGATGACAAATAGAGGATGTTGATTTTTACACACAAGTTGTTAGTTCAGATGCCACACCTGATTTGATTTGTGTAGACTGCAAGGAAAGTTTGCAGAAATCTGGAAGTCTTTGGTTAAATTTCTCAACTTTCCACAATGATATGTTTTTTTATGGCAAGGGAGTCCAGTCTTGAATCTGTACTGTCACTAGTCTTTTTAAACAAGCTCCAGTACTGTGGGACCCTGGAAAAGCAGTCCTAAGCAGACCTAAGAACAGTGTGAGGCTCCACAGCCAGTGGAGTGTGCCTCCTTTCCTTTCGACCAGGAGTTTGAACTAACCCAGCAGGTAACAGCAGGCAGGAAGAGCTTTGTAGTATTGGCCAGGCTCTTGCTGGGTACAGATGTTTAGAAACTGTTCAGTGAGGGAGAAGATAGTGTTGCAATCCTTTAGTCTAACAGCTCAAGAGAGACCAACTCCCTCTCTCACAAGTGAGAAAATGAACTCCTGTCCCTGGAAGGCATATCATAGGACCAGCACATGGTTTTAGGACCCAATGGCCACATGGTGGGTGCTGCTCCTAGCCCATCCCTTCTCATGAATTCTCAAGCTAGGCACTGGTGGCTCACATCTGTAATCATAGCTACTCAGGAGGCTGAGTTCTGAGGATCATAATACAAAACCAGCCTGTGCAGAAAAGTCCATGGGACTCTTTCTCCACTTACCAGCTAAGAGCTGGAGTAGAGAAACAAACAAAAGCCAAGTGTCAGTGCAAGATCCAGAGTTCAAGCTGCAGTACTGGCACAAAAACAAACACACAAACAAAAATGAATAAGAAACTCTTCTTAATTCATTGTCTAAGATGCAAAGTCACTTTCTCTTGTATTCATACTAATACCAATTTATTTTTCCTGAAGCCCTGCCAACGAGAGCTCTACAGAGTGCTGGAGAGATTAGCCCAACAACAGAAGGCAGGAGAAGAAATCTACAAATTTTACTTACCCAATTGCAACAAGCATGGATTTTATCACAGCAAACAGGTAGGTGGCCTTGCTAGTGGGTGTTTTTATGGATCTAGTCACTGCTTCCCCATGCCCCTGCAATACCATGGTCTTTCATGATACAGAATGTCCTGCCCCAAATACACACAGAAAATGTTCTTACTAAATGAGATCTATTTAGTGAGCCTTGGGGGAGAGGCATTCACAGGTTTCTGGACCCTTGGGGTACCAATTCCTCACCTGTCATACCTAGAGAAAGGAAGCAAAACTCCCTATGGGGACTGGTTGCTGCAGGGGCGGGGATCTTCCTTCCTCAGCACCACCAAGCTGACAGGTGGCTTGGTGGTTATTCTCAGCAGGAGAGAGTGGGAGTGCAGGGGTGTGTGCAGGAGGGTAGGGTCCTGAGACATTTAGGGAAGAGCTGGGCGGGGCTATCTCCACTCTCAGCTCTTAATCTGCTGACCCTGACTTTGGCCCTGTCTTGGCAGTGTGAGTCCTCCCTGGATGGGGAGGCAGGGCTGTGCTGGTGTGTCTACCCTTGGAGCGGGAGGAGGATCCCTGGATCGCAGGAACTCAGAGGGGACCCTGATTGTCAACAGTACTTTCATTTACAACACTGAAAAGAGATGCTGTCTGTGTTCACTCGGGCAAAGTATTTAAGTATATAGTGTATTTATACTCTGGAACCACACATTCACATTTTTGTATGTATCTATGTATGTATATAAATATATATATATAGGAAGTACCTTTTATACTCCATATATTGCTTGTTATATAAAGCTGGCTCATATTTATTCACTATAAGTTTATTTTTCTACACAGTAACTTGTACCGGTATTAATTTATATATTACAAAACACCTCTCATTGCTTTATGTGTACAAAGTTGTATTCTAGCTTTTCCAAAGTACAGGCTTCTGTTTTTGTCTTTTTCTTTTTAAAGAGCACACGTGGCTCTGTCTAGAAAATGCAGAAGCAAATAGGAGGCAATGATTTTTCCGAGTGGCTTTTGAAGGAGCATAGTTAACCTGCACTTAAGAGTGATTTGCCATGTCCATCTCACATCACTGATGGGCATTTGCAGGGCAAGTAAGCAAGTGAAGATGTCGATGTGTAAAGGAAGCTAGAGGTGGTGATGTTGCTATGGGGGAAAATGTGCATTGGACACTGTTCAACTCATGCACACACACATACATGTACATCTGATGGAAAGCTATTTGGAATAAATGATCCATGTGGAAACACTTTTATTGACTGTTGGTATTATTTTGGAACCACTTGGTGCTTTGGTGGTTCATGATAGGATCGGGCTGTGTCTGGTGCTAGTCTTTTATTGCCCGTGGAGTTGGGCCTCTTTTCTGCTGGGCTAGACTGGACTTCTGGTTGTTAGCACTCTCAGCCTGTCCATTCCTCCCGGGGCACTAGGCTTTGTCCCCTATTTTATCCTTGTCTTCGTGGATATTTTGGGTGGGGTTTGTTCTGAACCTCAGGGCCTGGCCCTGGCTAGGTAGGACTCTACTACTTGAACCATGCCCTTAGCTTTTTTTGCCCTAGTTATTTTTCAGATAAGGTCTCATTTTTTTTTGTAGGTAGTTAATTGGAGATAGAGTCTCCCAGGCTATCTTGCCTGAGGTAGCTTCTAACCATAATCCTTAGATCTTAGCCTCCTGGGTAATTAGGATTATATCCAAAATAATCAGGATTATGAGCCTGGCAGGTCTCATGCTTTTTGTTTGGAGAACAGCCTCTGACAGTGATCCTCTGGCTCTACCCCTATGTGGGTGGGGCTTGTTACTTGAGTTGGGATGTCCACAAATCCTCCCAGTTTCTGCCTATGGAGTGACTGGGACCACAGGCACGCACCTCTATCCCTGGCTGGCTCCTTAATGGGGGTAGTTTTGTTCATTCCCTTCCCTCCCTTCCCTCCCTCTCTGCCCCATACTCCTCAGGTCTCCCTCCCTCCCTCTTCTCATTCTGGCTCCCGTGGCTGAGCCCAGGCCCCAGCTGTCTTCTCTGCTCTTTCCCTTGGCCCAGGCTGCATTGCCTACTCCTGGTCTCACTTCCAGTCTCTCCCAGGTGTCTCATTCATTCCCAGTGAGCCTTCCTGCACGTGGCCTCCGCCCAGTCCCCAGGTCCTGAAGGGAAAGCCATCACCTTTTCACCCTAGTCCACCCCCTGGGAAGCCCTAACCTCTGCTTACTCATGCCCCAGTGCCACCTGGCTCTCCCAGGGGGCTCAGCTACCATCTTGGGTCCACTCCTACCCCTGCTGTGGTTGCTACTCTCTCTGCAGAGCCCCACTCCTCCCTCCAAGAGTGCTCAGGGTTTAGAATCCTCATTTAAAGCAGGACCCTCCCCCCTCCAAAGCCAAAGGTAAGGACCCCCTGTTGCTTCCCCTTCAGCAAGGCAAATCACTCACAGTTTGGGACTGGCCTAAGCTGAGCCCTCAGCTGGGAGCTGGTGCAGATGAGCTCCCTCCAGACACATCCAGAGCAATGCTTGAACAAATCTCTGAGCCTGCATGGCCCAGCCAGTTGGCACATAAAATTATTTGCTGGTATTGGGATGGGGGGGAGGGGGGAGGCTGGGAAGGGATGGGAAGGGGAAACAAAGGAGGAGGCTGCAATGCTTGGTAAGAAATGTACGCATTATCCTGCCCATGCAATTGTAACCCCTCTGTACAGTATGTTCACAAATAAAATAAAATTAAATTAAAAAAAATTATTTGCTGGTGGCTGGAGCCTGAACCTAGCTACTACTCGGGAGCCTGACCTCTGAGGATCAGGGTTCCAAGCCAGCCTGGATCTCCAACTAAGCACCAAAAACCCAGAAGTGGAGCTGAGGCTCAAAGTGGTAGAGCGCTAGCCTTGAGCAAAAATAAAAAGCTCAGGCATAGCATCCAGGCCCTGAGTTCAAGACCCACAACCGACCAAAAAAGATTCATCATTCTAAATGTCCTTTTCCAACTTGGCATTCATATACATCTTCTTAACTCCTACCAAATATCCAGATAGAGATCATAATTGTCAGCATAACACAACCATCCTGTGTCCAAGCAAAAATGCAAAAATCCCCTCCCACAAGAAAAAGCAAAATCCTTGAGTAATGTTTTCTCATATCCTTGATATTGATATCTCTTCACTTGACTATTATGGTGTAGTCAACACAAGTGAAATCTATCTATCTATCTATCTATCTATCTATCTATCTATCTATCTATCTATCTATCTGTCTATCTATCTCCATCAGAACAAACCAAGGAACAGCTGCTCACACAGCCCCAGAGCTTGTTTTGTTCCTGATGGGCTGTAGCTCCTCACAGTGATATGGAACATACTTATGATCTGCTCCTTCCTCTGTCTGATTTGCACTCCCTTTGTGCTGAGCAAGTAGCTTAATGGGTCTGTGCGTGTGTGTGTGCGTGTGTGTGTGCGTGTGTGTGTGTGTGTGTGTGTGTTTAATCTGCCCTGCACCCTGTGTTCTCTGTCCCTGCCTGGATTTGGTTGTTGTGGTTTCTTTCTGACTTCAGTCAGGGGCATGGTCATCCTAAGCAACATGTGTTACAGACTTGTTTTCCTTACCTGGGTCATGATCTAGCAGCCCAATTTCTCTTTGGTTGTCTGGGTCGGTTTCCAAAGCTAGCACAGACACTCCCTTTGCCTGATGACTGGCCCCTGAGTTGCCCCTCACTTGAGATCCTGTGGGATCCTTGTGGTGTCTTCCTCTGCAGTCATTGAACTAAGACCTCTAGGCTATCAGAGCATAGAGTTGGGGGGGGTCAGGAGGTGGTGTACCAATGCAGTTCCTTCCACCCCCTTGATTTTTGGAGCCCTTGGGTCCTGGAGAAACAGCGTCCTATACTGAGCATGATTCAGAGCTGGCCCTGCCCTTAGCATTCACATTAGCATGCCAATACAAAGTGAGGATGTGATTGTGACTTCAAGGGACAACCCACTGTTGTGTCAGCCAACTGCTGATGAGGGGAAGAGGAGGAGAAGCAAGAATGCCATTGGTATGGACCTTGCTGCCCTTCCTTGATGGAACCCATGTCCTGTGGGCTTCAGAGGGTGGATGAGGCTGTCTGAGTGGCCTCCTGTGGGCAGTGAGTGTTATAGAAAACATGAGATGTAGAAGAAGGGAAACCCACGTCCGAGGTCCTCAGTGAAGGCAGCCATGCAAGCAGCCTGCTGCCACTAGACAGGTGACTGGGATTGAACCTATGCTGGGCCAGTGCTCTTCTCTCTGTCTGTATCATCTATCAGCCATCTGTCCTGCAATCACTTTTCTTTGGATCTATATCATCTACTAATCATTTAGCATTGCATATCTGTATTTATCTATCTATTCATCAATTATGTGTTTCCCACCTGTAGCATTGTCAACATCTTTTGGAGAACTGACTCACCATGTACAGAGGCTGTGAAATCTGATCGCTGATGGCAGCTTGCTATCTGCAAGCTGGAGACTCGGTGAGGCTGACAATATTGTGATTCAGTTTGAGCCAAAGATCTGAGAATTGGGAATCAGATGGTGTAAGTCTCAATCTCAGGGCCAGAGGATGAGATGCCCCAGGGAGGCAAGAAAATGTGTGAATTCCTTTTTCCTCTACATTTAGTTTGATACAGGCTTCCAGCAGATGCCCAAGCAGGAAGCATATTGGAGCTGTGGCTCTAAGGCAGGCAAACCCGGTAGGAATGGAAGAAGTATGATCATGAGATTGATGGCCTTCTACCACAGCTCACATCTTCAGTGGCACTTAAGGACCAGCCAAGTTCTCATTGGACCTGTAGACATGAACAGAACTCATTCATGACTCATCATGTTCAACTGTTGGGACTCAGGAACCATTTCACATGCGCATCAATGCATCAAATGCGGCTCCAAGTAGGATCTGTGGTTAACCCTGGGAATCCCCAGTCATGGGCTTTGCGCATTGTTTGGAATAGCTCTACAATGGACTGAAGCCTGGAACCCTGTCCAGTGTCTCCGGGGGTTCTTTTCTTCGTGCATTTATCAGCTTCCCTCCTCCCCACAGTGGCAAAAGGACATGGGGCATCTGTCCTGTGTAGCCCTGTGCCTGAGGGAGTCTGCTCTGAGGACAGAGGACCCAACAGGACCCAACGGACAGAGTCCTGTCAGGGAGACATGGCCCACAGCCCAGCCCCAATTTCCATAGCCAGCCTGCTCCTCCAGGGGCACCCTGCCACCGCTACTGGTGCCATGAAGGCCACAACCATCTTGTTGTAGATTTTGCTCCAGATAAAAGTAGGAAAAACTTTGCATTTAGGATGCTTTCTTCTACCACTAGAATATTCTACCCTCTCAGTTATTTCTTTAGTAACATAAGACCCAGAGGGGTCATTAACAAGGAGAAAGAGGAAATATTATTATTTTAATGGTAAAAACTTTATTTACTTTTATAAATACATTGCAAGACAAAACTTTTCAAAAATACTTTCCCCCCCAAAAATTAAAAAAATAAAGGAAAGTTCGTAATAGGTAGGCAGACTGTCTTGAGACCTCTTTTTGTTCTTAAGGAGAGCTCTCTGCAGTGTAGGGCAGGACAATCGCCACACACCCAACACTGCCGTGGGTTTGGCCTTGGGGAGAGAAAAGCCCAGCCTGGACTGAGTGTCCTCTCCTGGTCACGGCCATAGTTACACCTTCTAGTATCTATAACACTATCTAGGATTATCTAGTATGGATCCTATTATAGTTGGGCTATGCTGTATACAATGTTAACCATTGAGAACATATCTCTCTCTCTGCATATATGTGTGAATTATAAAGTATAAGTTGGACTCCAAGTTCAACAAACACAAGTTATTCTCTATGTGTTCCCAGTGTCCCTATGAGGCCTCTCAACAAGCTGTTCATCTTTCCTGTTTAGATAACATTAAACACCATTGTTCTGTTAGATCAAGAAGAATAAAGATGAGGGGTGAAAATAAACTTTTGCCTTTAAATAGCTTATTATCCTCAACCCCAAACTAGGAGTTAAATTAGAAAACATTTTGTTGTTGTTGTTGTTGTCTCCAGAGCGATTACTCCATTACTGGTGAGGCCTGTGAGGTGTGGGGTACACTCCCAACCTCCCGCATGCCCTGCTGGACCACAGCCAAGGCCACCCTGGGCCTTCCACTGGGCTCCATCCTTGAAAAGCTGCCTGACGGAGGGAGATCAGAAAGATCTGCATTTACAAGTTTCCCAGAATGTGTTAGAGCTTTTTTGGTCAGTTTTATAGAACTTTCTTGGTCAGTTAAGATTCCACCCTCAATCTCTGCAGTATTTTCCAAGCAGATCAAGTCACTTGCAGATCATGAAGAAGCTTTGTGGCCCAGGGGTCCAGGCCTTGGAATCAAAGATAGTACCAGGAGGGCCAGGGGTCTCGTGTATGGTACAAATGTCCAGGTGACTGGAGTTTCTGACTTTCCTGTTCTCCATGAGGCCTGAGCAGGGCCGAGGGCAGCGAGGAAGTGTCTTCTACAATAGCCACTGAAGTGAGGAAGGCTGTGCCAGTGGGCAGATGTGGAGAGGATTCTAGAAGGGGATCAAGTCCACTGCTTTGGGCAGAAGTATCAGTTATTTTTACAGAAAGCAACAGAGAAATTAATTTTCTTTTCTGACTACTGAAAAGTGGAAAGATGCTCAAGTTTACCATTTAAAGGAACAATAGACATTTCAAAAATCTCTGTCTAAACTTTGGTTTTCTTAAAAAAACAAAAAACAAAAAACCAGTTCATCACAAAAAGAAATATAAGTTGAGGATGTAGCCAGGTGCTGTTCTGTCCATGGCAGTCTTTTGTGCAAAGTAAGGCGTATTGGAGCTCCAATTTAACTAAATAAAAAAAAAAAAAGAAACAGATTAAGTACTCACTCCCTACAAACAAAAGGACCTGATGTCCCCGGAGAGTGGGGTACAGTTTTTCCAACTTGCAAGGAAAAACCAAAGAACTATGAATAATTTTTGTGCCAGTATGGGGGCTTGAACTCAGGGCCTAGGTGCTTTCCCTTAGCTTTTTTACTTAAGACTCTCTACCACTTGAGCCACAGCTCCACTTAATAGTTTTGTGTGGTTAATTGGATGTAAAAGTCTCACAGACTTTCCTGCTAGGCTGGTTTCAAACCTTGATCGTCAGATTACAGGTATGAGCCACCAGTACCCAGCTATTAAAATTTCCTTACTTATTAATTTTATTTTGGGAAGATGAAAGAAAATATAGTTATGCTTTCTTCTCCAATAACTCTCTCATTTCTTAAAAGAAAAATGGAATATTGAAGATGACAGCATTTAAAAAAATGATGGTTTAGAATTTGTTTTGCATTTTGTTTTTCACAAACTTTCCTAAACTAATATTAACTACAAATGAGCCTACTATTCATAGCATAGGCTGCATCTTTTATTTGAGAAATCTGGTCTGCAGCAGTTCTTGAGGATGACCAGTCTCCCCAGGGCACTGAGATGAATATTAGGACTTTCTGTGGGACCAGCTTTATTTTGAAGGACTTGCACAGGGCATAGGTATAAAAAGGTCTGTGGTTTAAGTCCTTCAGAATCCAGTGTCACTTCCTGGACACTCCATGGTACAAGACTCTTTCTCTGAGCTGGTTTGGTTGGGTTGGGTCGGGGTGGGGTGCGGGGGCGGGGGGGGGGCTGGGGGGGAAGCCTCCCTCTTCCAGCTTCTGTCTGAAGGATGAATCTCCTTCACCTCTCACCTTCCTCTTTGGGTGTGGCTGTATCTCCTGGGTCAGTGACCCACCCTGGGGAGGAGCCAGTGGCCATGCTCAGCCCTGAGTGACCCTCTGTCACCGCCCCCCCCCCCGCCCCCGGGGAGGAGGGCAGCCCGGCCAGAGTGCTTTTCCTCACCTCCAGCTTACCTGATGCAGTGGGGTTTACTGGCTCTGCATGCCGAGGCAGTGCACGTCGTCTGTGCCCTTGCTGTCGAAGCCTGGGAGGGGCTGCCCATACTTGTCCACGCACCAGCAGAAGCCCCGCTTTCTGCCTTTGGAGGGGCGGCACTGAGGGACAGAGAAAGAGCACTGATTTGGACACACCTTGGACCAGGGGCTGGTGGTCAAGGCTAGGCTGAATTTCTCCTCTGAGTCACAGGGAGAGGAAGAAAACACCTGAGCAGTACATACCTGCTTCTTCTTATAAAATCCTTTCTTGTCACAGTTGGGGATGTGCACACCCCTGGGACTCAGCACATTGAGGAACTTCAGGTGATTCAGGGTGTCTTCCATCTCTCTACGGCAGGGACCCTGTACATCAGCACGCAGCAGAACCAGGAGACACGGTTATTGCTTAACAAAGAGAAATCTTACAATGCTCTGGGATCATATTTTTCCCATACCTTCTGCCTGAGCTACCAAGAAAGCCACAGGAGGGTACCCATCACTGCTGTCAATACTGCGATTTGAACTCAGGGCCTAGACACTGTCCCTAGCTTTTTTGCTCAAAGTTAGCACTCTTACCACTTGAGCCACACCTCTACTCACAGCTTTTGGCTCCTTAGTTGGAAGAGTCTCACAAACTTTTCTGCTCAGGCTGGCTTTGAACCTCAACCCTCAGATCTCAGTCTCTTGAAGAGTTAGGATTACCAATGTGAGCCACTGACACCCAGCTTTAAAAGGAAGAGGAAGAGTTCTCACATATTCTGTCTCCCGTTTGGACTCCGAGGAGAAGTTCTGGGTGTCCGTGCTCTGGGACTCATAGTCGACTTTGTAGCGTTGGCTGTCCTTCGCATGACCTTTCTTGATGGTGTCCAGCTTTGCGTGGATGGAATGGAACTTGGAGTCAGGCACCCGATGTGTGCTGGGTGGGGCATGACTCTCCACGCTCCCGGTGCCTCGGTCTTCCTCCGACTCACTAACATTTCCTAGAAAAGCACAGGAGATGCATGGGTGACTACTGCTGACCTTGAACTCGTGGCAATGCTATTAGCAATTCCAACTCAGTGAAAAAAAATACGTTTATCATTATTCTCTAGTACTACTTGTCATTCCACTGTTGCTTTACCTGTGTCCCATTAGTCAGCAGTCTGAGGAAGACAGTTGGTTTAAAAGCCAACTTGTAGCCAGACACCAGTGGCTTGTGCCTGTGTAATCCTAGCTACTTCAGGAGGCTGATCATGGTCTGAAGTCAGCCTGGGCAAAAAGTCACTGAGATGCCAATGAATCACTGGAAGTGGAACCGTGGCTCAAGTAGTACAGTACTAGCCTTGAAGGGAAAAGCGAAGGGACAGAGTCCAGGCCCTGAGTTCAAGGTCCAGTACAGGCACACACACACAATTAGAGGAAGCAAATGTTTATCAAATGCCCCTTAAAGCAGAGGCAAAGGCAGCAGTGCCACCTGTAACCAGCAGGTGGCAGATGTGTGCCACAGAAGGCTGTTACAGAAGGCTGTTGAAGAATTGGTTCTAAATTTGCCAGGTCACACCAATTGCATCTGGTCCCCCTTTGGGGGGGGGAGGGGGGAGACAGTGACCACCCTAGGGATTTGGGAAAAATTACATTTCTCACCCAAAAAGTACTGAGGTGGTGGAAGGTGCCAGCACAAATCAGGTCTCTTAACAGTCTAATCCTGGAGTTGGGCCAGCACTGTTCTCTATACCACGTGGCCAGCTCTTTGCAGGCTGGTGTCCTCTGTTTTAGTATCAATTGATCTGTCTCCTGGAGGGGTTCACAACTCAACTGTCCAGGTAGTCTCAAGGCCAGCATGTCTGCTTGTGTCCAGTGCCCAAGCTCCCTGTACTGTCCAGCTTCAGCCTCTCCCCTCAGAGAGGTTGCCCATGCCTCCTTCATCTGACTGGATCTGTTCTCTCTGGGTGTGAAATGCTGGGCTCCAGGTGAACTCTCTCTTGCCTTCACAGCCACGCCTGGCGTGGCATCTTGCCCACCGAATGGGAAAGCCGCCAAAGCTTCTGGCTCTTGACTGAGAGCCAGCAAATGCCTGACTCCCAGAAAGCTCCTAGAGGCTGCAAATTGCTCTCACCAGGACGCACCTCACCACTGGAAATTGGGAAGGGGTGGGGCGGTGGGGAAGGGGAAGCTCTCCTTCTCAAGGGCTCAGCCCCCCTCACCCGCAAAGTTCCCAAAGGCGTTTTGTGCTTCAGGGGAGCCAAATTCCCATCCAATGAACCAGCTTGGTTTCAGTTAGCTTTATTCTTGGTTCCGTCCCTGCCCCTTTCAAGGTAGCACTGGAGGGGGCCAGCAGACCCGGAGCTGAGAATATGTAAATAAGCGTATTTGCATTTCTTTTTCAAGAATCTCGAGTCATTTCTTCACTCCCCCCTCCCCCTAAGTTTTCTTTTTCTTCCTCATATTGCTGGCTAGTGGGACACAGGGAGTTTTATTTCAGCAACCGAGGATTGGTACTAGAATTACATCTCACCCCCATGGATTTGATCATTTGTAAGATCCCACGCCACTTTTACACTGGAGAGCCTTGCAGTGACTGACAGGATTATTAAAACCTAACTAAAAATGGCAACCTTCTAAGTAAGTGCTTCTAAGATCGCTTTTTTGAAGATCTCCCCGGTGCAACTGGAAGCCACAGCGCGCCACACGACTTCACTCTCAGAGAAAAGCCAGAGAACAATCGGAGCCTTGCCTTTCCCCGAACGCGGGGCTTCTCGAGTAAAGCCAGCACTGCCGAGCACAGAGCTAGCTTGACCCACGAGTGCAACTCAGTCACGTAAACTGTGACGGGGCCGCACCGTCATGCCTGGCGTGGACGGGGCACCGCCATCTGCCCAGCTCGCTGGGGACGCGCACTCGTGGGAGAAGCCTCCAGCTTTCACCTGCGCAAGCCACAACTCTCCTCACAGAACTGAGCCAAACTGACTTGAGAATGCTTGAAACTTGCACAATCAGTAGCCAAGTCTCTTAAATTTTTTTTTTAAAAGGAACCGCGAGCTATTTTCGCCGTGACTGGCAGTACCCGAGCCAGGAGAGAGAGGGAACTTTGCCAAACGTTTTCATTTTCCCTTTTTTTTCTTGGGGGGGGGGCTACTGTACCTCATCCCTTCCACGGTGGAGTTAAGAGGGAGACTTCTGGGCAGGTTCCAGCTCCTCTGGTTCACTAAAACCCACTGTCTACAGTGGCAGTGGCCGACGAACCCCTGGGCGTTTCGCCGTCCATGGGGCGCGGGGTGTGCGGGGCCGGGGGGGGGCTGGGGTGCGCAGCCCCGGGAGATCTTGAGAAGTACTTTTTAAACCTCAGGTTTTTCCAGCCGCAAAACGATCGAATGCCCAAATCCCACCTCATTTCGTTTCTGGGCTCACAGGACGTGGCCTTGCTTTGCAAACTATGCAAAATGCGAGGATTTCCCCCCCTCCGCCAAGAAAAACAGCGCATCTTCCGATAAGGACCCAACTCTCCGGGTGCGAACGGAACCCTCACCCCGGGTCCCACCCCGACCCTGCCTCGGGGACCGACGCGCGGCCCTCCAAACGCGCTGGGGAGAATGGAACCCTGGTTCCAGAGCTGTGCGCCCCAGCGCTGGGCGAGGACGATGCCCCGCCACGGAACCCTTTGCCCGTCCACCGGCTGTCGCCCTCCAGGTCGGGTCCGTTGGCAGTCTCGGGCGCCGCCCCGCCCCCGTGCCCAGCCGTCGCGCGCGGC